TGTCCAAAATATATTCTCAAGTCATTTAATGAGGTAGTAATATAAACATATAGGGAGCAAAAAATAAGAAAGCAAATGTGATAACATGTTAACAACTGTAGGATCTGGATGAAGGGTACAGAAGGATTATTATTATTGCAACTATTTCCCATAAGTCTGGAACTATTTCAAATTTTCTTCCTTAGCTTGCTTCCCTTTTCCTTCATAAAAGCTATGATTTTGAGAAGTATTTTCGTTTTGTTTTATTTGGAATTTTTTGTTTTTTTGAGACAGGGTCTTGGCTTTGTCACCCATGACAGGGTACAGTGGTGCCATAGCTCACTGCAATCTCAAAGTCCTGGGCTCATGTGATTCTTTTATGTTAGCCTCCCAAGTAACTGGGACTACAGGTGTGTGCCACCATATGCAGCTAATTTCTTTTATATTTTTTGTACTGACAGGGTCTCCTCTTGCTCAGGATGGTCTCAAACTCCTAGCCTCAAACAATCCTATAATCCTCCCAAAGTGCGAGGATTATAGGTACGAGCCATTACACCCAGACTTTTTAAATCACATTTTAAAAAAGAAACTTATCTAACTAGGAACAATGAATGAGTTTGTTCTAATATATCTGTGTGGTTAACAGGTATGGTAGCTCCTGTTTTGTAATCCCAGCACTCTGGGAGATTGAAGAGGAAGATCGCTTGAACCCGGGAGTTCAAGACCACTCTAGGCAACATAGCAAGGCCCTATCTTCACAAATAAGAAAAATTATCCAGGGATAGTGGTGTATGCCTGTAGTCTTAGATACTTAGAAGGCTGAGGCAAGAGGATCACTTGACCCAGAAGCTTGAGGTTACAGTGAACTATGATCACTGGTTAAATATGAAAATATAAAGTGAAAAAGCAAACAATACACATATTGTATAACATTTACTTAAATTTTTAAATCTAAAAAGTATGTATCATTAGTGTTTGAGTATCTAGTAATGTTTATTTTGACAAAAGGAGATGGATAAAGAAAAGAGAATGGGGTAAAACCTATCATAACATATATACACTATCTTTTAAACTATAGCTAATTCAAGTGTGACAAAATTTTAATATGTGTAATATCCAGATGATGGATATATGGATATTCATTACTAGTTTTACACTACCTATATGTTTGATACATTACATAAGCTACAATTAAAATATTTTTTAAAAAAGATATTAACAATTAAAAAGACTTAAAACTCTCAAAACTTCCCAGTACACCTACTGTCACAAACCAAATGCTTTTGGAAGGTGCATGAGGCTAAGCCCAAAGATGGAAATAAATACAAATAACTGTAGAATGTTGGAAATGATGACCAAACCAAACACTAAGAATACCTTTTGAACAGAAACTTCTCTGATGAAGACAGATGCATGACCTATAAACACATGAAAAAATGCTCATCATCCTTAATCATCAGAGAAATGCAAATCAAAACCACTTTGAGATATCATCTAACTCCAGTAAGATTAGCCCACATCACAAAAGCCCAAAACTACAGATATTGGTGTGGATGTGGAGAGAAGGGAACACTTCTACACTGCTAGTGAGAATGCAAGCTAATACGATTTTTTTGGAAAGAAGTTTGGAAAACACTCAAGGAACTAAAAATAGACCTACTGTTTGATTCAGCAATTCCTCTACTAGGTATATACCCAGATAATCAAAAATTATTTTACAACAAAGACATTTGCACCAGAATGTTTATTGCAGTCCAATTCATAATAGCCAAGACATGGAAACAGCCCAAGTGCCCATCGACCCATGAATGGATTAACAAATTGTGGTATATGCATACCATGGAATACTATGCAGCCATAAAAAATGGAGACGTCACATCTTTTATGTTTACTTGGATGGAGCTAGAACATAGTCTTCTTAGTAAAGTATCTCAAGAATGGGAAAAAAAGTATCCAATGTACTCAATACTACTATGAAATCAACATATAATTACCTACATATTCATATGAATGGCAACACATAACTATAGTCCAGAAAAGAGAAGAGAGAGGGGAGGGGAAGAGGGATGTAGGAGGATGGAGAGCATTTGGGGAGACCTCACCTAATGTGCATGATGCAACGGTACATTTCAAAACTATTAAGAAATGAGTATAATTGTGACAGATGTATTAACTTAGTTCAATGTATTTCACATTGTATATCAAAGCAGTACACTGAACCCCATAAATGCATCCATGTACAAAGTTATAAGTTAATAAATAATAATAATAATAATAAAATAGTCGGTGTTGTGGCAGGTGCCTGAAGTCCCAGCTACTTGGGAGGCTGAGGCAAGAGAATTACTTAAGCCCAAGAGTTTGAGGTTGCTGTGAGCTGTGACGCCATGGCACTCTACTGAGGGCAACATAATGAAACTTTGCCTCAAAAAAAAAATAATAATAATATAGCATTTCATTCTATTTGTTTAATTCTTCTTTTGATAATTTCACATAGAGCTTATAAATTTCTTAAGTTTATTCCTAATTGTTGGTTACCTTTTTTTATTGCCATTATAAATGGAATCATTTTATTAATACACGTATTTTCTAAGTGATGGTTGTTTATATATGTAAAGGCTATTGTTTTCTGTATGTTAGTTGTGTATCCAGATTACTTACTGAATTCTCTTACAGTGCTAGTAGTTTGACTATTGATTACATATGTCAGGTTTGCTAGGTATATATGCTCTACTTCTGTAAATAATTATAATTTTACTTTCTTTTCAAATTTTATCCCTATAATCTCTTCCCTAATCTAATTTCATTGACCTATACCTACAAAACAACGTTAAGTAAGAGTGATAATAGATTTTCTTGTAATGTTCCTAAATTTAATGCAAATTTCTTTAGTTTTTCTCATTAAAGATGATTTTGGCTCTTTTTTTTTTTTTAAATTGAATGGTAACTATGTACATTAATGCAATTCTGGGGTACAGTGTGGGGTTTTCACATGCAATCCAAAATACTTCCATCAAACTGGTCAACACAGCCTTCATGTCATTTTCTCAGTTATTGTTTTAAAACGTTCACATTCTACTCTTAGAAAGATTCACTTGTACCCCTATAAGATAAACCTCAGAAGTGATCCCTCCAAACTCCCT